CCCATCACTAGACTAGGACTGGATTAGGATAAACTTCAGTTTCTTTAGATAAGGTGGTGGATTCTGCTTCTAGCAGTGAACCACTCTAAAAAATTCTTTAAAAAAAAACTTCTGGTCAGCTGAGCTCACCAGCCTCTCCTACTTGTTTTTGGTGAACATCCAAAGTGTAAGTTTCTCTAGTCATTTACTCCTTCCCTGCCTCATGTTTCTTTCTTTTGATCCTGTCATCACTTTCTTCTGTCTTACCTTCCAGATTTTTTCTTTTTCTTTTTCTTTCTCTCCTCTCCATTCTCTCTCTCTTCTCCTTTCTGTCTTTCCTTTGTTTCAACTAACAATATCTGCATATAAAGTGTTATATAAGTCTGGTAAGAATTTAGCTTTTTTTCTTCCTCCAAACATGCACACCTTCCCCACCATCATTTTCCCTATACCTGTGATTCATAAATTTATCATATTTATTAGATAAATAGACAGTGTTTATTATAATTATGAAAATGGCATTTGTAATTGGGCATTATTATAATTATATTTCTTCAAAATTAATACCTTTAAATTTTTTAATTTGCTTTTTTAAAAATACATTTTTACTGATTTTCCCTAACCCATGCACCTCATGAATAAGTTTCAATATGTTTACATATCCAATATTAATTCTATCGCCTTGGAGTTATCATTTCCAGTCTTTTGTCTTCTTGCTCCACTACAACTTAATTGGTCATTATGCAGGACAAGGAAGTGTCATTTTGAAATCTCCACCACCAACTGGCGGGTTCTCAACATTTCTCTCATGTAGAAAGACCAGTTTTCTGAATTGTCTTTTTATTTTCTTGTTTATTCCTTTGATTTAGTAGAGTACACCATCCAGTATATTTCTTTGAATTGTTCAATAGATGGCCCATTTTTTTTTGAGATCTTACATGAATGATTAATATTTTAATGGTAAAGAATTTTAGATGGGTAGTAGAAATATTCCTTCAAAAATTTGAAAACATTTTTATTTTTTTCAGTTATACAGTTTCTGATAAGTTCAATATTATTCTAATTTCTGACTGGTTTTAAATGAGACTTTTCCCTCCTTAAAAGCCTTATTATTTAATATTTATTAATTAACATTTAAAGTTCTTTAATTATACAATAATATCAATGTGAACTTTTTTCTTACCCATATGAGGCTGCTCACTGGGTCTTTCTAGGTTGTAAAATTTTTTTAATATCCACTTATAATGGGAGATTTTCTTCCTTTAATTCTTGGATTCTCCTACTTTTACTATTTTTTCTCTTTTTGGAATTTCTATTATTTGGATACTATACTTCCTAAAGTGATCTTCTAATTTTCTTCTCTTTCCTTTTCTGTTTTCTATTTCTTTATATTTTTATTTATTTTCTAAGAAAATTCCACAACTTTATCTTTTAATTCAGTATTTAAGCTTTTCATTTCTGCTTCTGTAGTTTTAATTTCTACTAGCTCTCTCTTAACATGCCAATTTAAAGATAGCATCCTGTTCTTGCTTCATTATGTGAAAATTTATTTCTCTGGAAATATTAAGAATTTTTGAAGTCTTTTCTCTTGAATCATCATGTTGTTTCATTAAAAATAACTATGTCTTGTTTATGATTGGCTCTCTTTACATATTGATGAAGCTTGAATGCATTTAAAAGCAGTTGTGTTGAGTCATGTCATCCTGGGTAACTTTAATATATTCACATAGATTTTCCATGCAACATTCTAGATTTAGTTCCTTGATTTTTTTCATGTCTAGGAACATTTTTTTTCTATTCACATTCATGTCTCTTTCCTGTGGCCGCATCCTAGAATTTAACAAGATAAACTACTACAATTATGAATACAGTTTTTGAATCATCTCACATTCCTACCACTACCTTTTCTCTCCACAGTTCCATTTTTCAGTTAATATTTCTGTGCCTATTTGCTTAATCCATAGAGACATCCAGGTTTTTATCTCTATACTGTCTGTACCCACTTCTCTTTTCATTTTTTCACTAATCAACCTTGACTACATTGTAATCACATGGCTGCTTTCTTACCAATATAGTCAACTTCATTGTTCTGATACCCAACTGAAAAAAATCAGGATTAGTACTATTATTTGCCTTCTCTGTTCTACACTTGGACTGGAAAAGGCATATCAGAATGAAATATGGTATCAATTTTAATACAGGAAGTCCAGTGTCAAAAGACTCCTTAACTGTGTGGCAACCCATTCATTCTTTCCATTTCAATTTTATGTCCAGTTTTCCCAGCAGTTAACTCTATATTGTTTTATTCTTCCAAAAGCTTTTAAAGCTTCCAGATCTATCATATTTTTCACAATTATCAACAGATAACTGGACCCCTGATGACAAATAAGCTACTAATTTTATAAATATAACTGCATCATCATGACTAACTACACCTTTTATTACAATAATCCATAAGTCACTCCTCTTATCTAAAGCTAAATACACCCACTCATGGTTAGATTTAAATCCACTTCATTGTTAGAAACTTCACACATTCAATTAATTCATACTTACCTTGCACTTTTATTTTCCATTTTTCTACTATTTATTTTTCCTTAAAGTATTTTAATATGCTCAATTTACCCTCCCATTATCAAAACTTTAAAATGAACTTCAGTCACATACACCCTTCTAGTTATTATCACCCCCTTCAAAGCCAACCATTTTATAAGAATTGTTTACACAGGCTCCTCTTTCTCACCTTCCACTCCCTCTCCACATGAAAGGAATCTAGCTGCCACTTTCTTCAGTCTACAGAACTCTCCTTCCAAAGTTAGAAATACTTTCATTGTTAGTAAATGTAACTAGGACTTCTAAGTTTTTAGTCAACATGCTTCTATCAAGGAATATTTGCTAATTATCACATCTCCCTGTCTCTTTTGCAGAGCCTGTCAACACAGACAACATAATTACGAATAAAGAAAAATTGATGATCCATTCTGGGATAATAATATTTGTCTCCATGATTAGCTTTTTATTGCACACCTTACAAAGAGGTAAATGCTTCTAAAAAGGTGGGAGATTTTAGATTGTTGTCTATCTAATTCCTCACTCTCCATAATGATATTTGGTCACAACTCTGTGAGCCTTATATCCTGGAGCCATAACAACCTATAAGAAAAATAAAAATTACAATATATCAGAAGTTTTGAAAATGCCCATTAAATAATGGGTCTCAGTGACTCATGTTATTGGGACTACCAATATCAGTATTTCTAATATGAATCAGAGCCATTGTTTGTGTCCTATAAAGGACATAGAATCTTCACATTCAGCTAAATTTAAATGACTCAACCTCAAATTTCCTCAATAACATATGCAGATGTCTTCTGTGTGCTGGAACTTGTGCAAGGCTGGAAGGTAACTGGAAGGTGAACATGGTGGATGGTTAGCATGGTGGTGTGCAAGGGTAGGCTAAATAGCCATCTCACATGGTAGTTTAATTGAATTTATTTAAGGAAAAGGCATGGAGAATGGACTATCCAAAGGGAAGGGCTGCACAGCACTGAGCCAAGGGGACATTGGGTTGATGATGGCAACTCCCAGGAGCTGGAGTTTCGTCCTTATATGCAGTCACTGGTGGGAAACTTTTGTCATCAGTGGGCCTGGGGACTGAGCTGGTGGGCTTGGAATGCAGGTGGAATGCAGGTGTGCAATCAGGTGCCTTCAGGACAGTTTCCATTCCTTGTATGGTCTGACTCCTAGTGTCCAGCAAGTTTTTCCTGGTCTTTTGTTCTCTGGTGGCAGGAAGCTTACAAATGTTCATTAAGGATTGTATTGCCCTACAGACATAGCAGTAACATTTAGAACTTTTCATATTATATCCTATTTGGAATTTAAGTCTTTTTTTGATGAAAAAAAGTCTTTCTACTTTTCCAAATACAAAACCAGGAACATATTTACAGCATTGACCTGTATTTTTTTCATTCTCATTCTTTCAAAACATGAATTGTTTGTTTTTTCCTTGTAATCCATCTCTTACTTAGAAAACTGGTAATTACCCTGGGCTTTATTACCAAACCCTGCCTCATATTAGAAAGGAGATCTAGGTAACCAGGACTAAGGGTCTATCCATGAGAGACTGCCTATTATACTTTGAGGAGCTCAGGGGAAGGAAAATTAATAAAAGAAAGTCAGTAAAATATACATTGTACTGGCTAAACAAAATTATAATATTATGACATCTGCCCCAACATTTAGTTAATATTCATCATTTTTAGAAACAACAGATCTATAAAATATTTTAAAAAATGAGTATCTTGGAGGAAGGAAGACAAGGGAGTGCCATCTTACCCATGAGAATCAGGGGATGAAAATATTAATTTAATTTAGGGTGAAAATCCAAGATTTTGTGTGCCATAAAAGCCAAATACAGGAGTCATGCTGTCAACCTTTGAACTTAGCTGGAAAGATGTTACCTATATGAGGATAGGGCCAGAATTATATTGTACCCATGGGACTGATACCCAAATTTATCAAGTCTATATTAACTGAGATCTATGACCATGTTACTCAGAAATTTTGGAATGAACTGAGTCCATGGAAGTTCCATTTGTAGTTCACCTTGAGACTATTCACTAAGAGGCTAAGGCATGCATAGGGGAAATTACCAGGAAAAAATTAAATCAAAGCCCAAATTAAGTAAAACATTTTTTAAAACCCCCAAATTTAAAATACATCAACTGGAACTCAAAAGAAAGAACTATTTAAAAAATGAGAAATTATGCTACTATTCTCAAAAGTACTAAAAGTGTAATATCAAGAAAATAATTTTATGAATCATTGGGACTTTGTAAATTAAGTATATATTCTTTCAAAAAGAATAAATAGTTATGAAAACCTTTAAAGTAAAATGCTTTAAGTGATAAAAATGTGCTATATTTGATAAGTGATATACTAGATACATTAGTTTTCTATTGCTAAATAACAAATTATTATGAACTTAGCAGTTTAAAATAATATATATTATTATCTCATAGTTTGCATTGATGAGGATTCCAGGCATGGCAAAGCTAGATCCCGTGCTCTGTGTCACAACAAGCTGTATCGTTGGCTGGGATTGCCATCTCATCGGGAGATCAGAGCCATCTTCTTCTTGGATCTTCAAGGTTAATGAAATAATTCATTTTCTTGTGATTTGTAGGTTTGAAGCCTTCAGCAACTAGAGAACACCCCTCTTCAAACACAGTTTTCAACATAGTTATTTGTTCATCCCCTCTGAGAATAAAATGAGAAAACCTCTGGTTTTTAATCATTCCAACTTCTTTTAAGGGCTTGCCTGATTAGATCAATCTTATTCAAGATAATCTTCCTAATTTTTTTTTAAAAAGAATAACAATGGCCCTGGCTGGTTTGGCTTAGTGGATAGAGTGTCAGCCTGAGGACTGGAAGGTCACAGGTTTGATTTCAGTCAAGGGCACATGCCTGGGTTGCAGGCTTAGTTGCCAGTGGCAGAGTGTGCAGGAGGCAGCCCATCAATGATTTTCTCTCATCATTGATGTTTCTATCTCTCTCTCTTCCTCTCTGAAATCAATAAAAAATATATTTTAAAACGAATAACAATGTATTCTATTTTTATATTTTTCTAATATATTTTTATTGATTATTTAGAGAGAGAAGAAGGGAATGGGAAATAGAGAGAAACATTGATGACAGAAACATCAATCAGCTGCCTTCTGTACGCCCCCTACTGGGGATCCAGCCTGAAAACCGAGCATGTTCCCTAACCAGGAATTGAACAGGTGGCCTCTTGGTGCATGGGACAGCACTCAATCCACAGAGCCACACTGGTCAGGCTAATCTTCCTAATGTAAAGTCAACTGATCGTAAACTTTAACCTGCAAAATCCTCTCATAGCAGCACCTAAAGCCCATTACTTGTGATTAAATACCTGGGAGAAAATGTGTATATCTGGAGTGGGAATTTTGGTAGCCACTTAGAATTCTGTCCACCACACTACACATAACTGAAATAAGAATTAGTGAAGCATAGAACCTGACCAGGTAGCTTAATTGGTTAGGGCATTGTCCTGATAAGCCAAGATTGCAAGTTCAGACCCCAGTGAGGGCATATATAAGAATCAACAAATGAATGCATAAATAAACGGAACAACAAGTAGATCTCTCTCTGTCTCTCATCCACTCTCTCTAAAATCAATAAAAAATTTTTTAAAAGGATTAGTGAGTCATAGAATCAAACTGAGGATATGTAACACAAAAGATAAAAAATTAAAACACATAATTAAAATTAAGAAAAATGGGAAAAAATTCAAAAGTTCTACTTTACAAAAATGAAATTTTAGCCCTAGCTGGTTTGGCCCAGTGGATAGCGTGTCGGCCTGCGGACTGAAGGGTCCCCGGATCAATTCTGGTCAGGGGCACATGCCCGGGCTGAGGGCTCAATCCCCAGTGTGGGGGAGGGGGCATGCAGGAGGCAGCCGATCAATGATTCGCTCTCATTAGCGATGTTTTTAATCTCTCTCCCTCTCCCTTCCTCTCTGAAATCAATAAAAAAAAAAGTATTAAAAAAAAGTGTTGACCCCTCCCCCCCCAAAAAAAGTGGATTTTCCATGTTTATCTGATATAGATGTCATTACCATCTTTTAAAATAGTCTTCAGAAGATGAAATATTTTAAATTATCTTTCCTATAACATTGCTTCTTTGACCAGTAATAGTAAAATGCAGTGTTTTATTGTTTTAGAGAAGAAGCTCTTGGAGAAACTACCCAAGTTTATTGGAAAACTGGCAATAATGCTGTTTATCAAGTGGATGGGAGTAAATCCTTTAATTTTGGTAAGCTTATGCTAGCATCAAAAGCTAACATAAAAGAGTAAATAGGAATTTGCTAAACAGTATGAGGCAGAGTGTATAAATTAAAAAAAATATCATCTAGAGTGATAAAGAGTAACTTGTATACATACAACCATCATCAATATCACACCAAGGGAAATGAAACAAAGGTAACCTTTAAGTTACCAAATAGAGAAGAAAGATTTCCTACAATTGATCAAAATTAAATTGGCATGAGATGTCTTAAATTAGTTTTCTAATATCCATATAATATGTTGTTTCTGTGAAAAATGAAATAAAGTAACATTTCAGACATTTAAGGATATATAGATATTTTACTGCTCAAGGACCATTACAGAAAAAAAAAATTAAGAGGAAGAATGAATCCAAAGATAAGCATTTTGATACAGGAAAATTAGTTAGTAAAGATTTCAGAGGAGAAATAGTTGCTACTACACATGTTAATTTTATGTGACAAATAATAATAATAATAATAATAGTTGTATAAATTCCAATAAAAATAAAAGCAGAATTCCAGATATTAAGGAGGAAAATATTACTAATTTTATGTGTTTAAATTGAAATTAAGATTAATTTAAATATAAATTTAAGTATTGTATAAACATAAGAGAATAATCATTAAACAAATAGAAATAACATATTGGTTAAAAGTGGAAGCTTTGCCCGGCCTGTGTGGCTCAGTAAATTGAGTGCTGACCCATGAACCTGAAGGTTAGGATTTGATTCTCAGTCAGGGCACATGCCTGAGTTGTGGGTTAAATCCCACTAGGGGGCTACAGGAGACAGCAGATCAATGATTCTCTCTCATCATTAATGTTTTTATCTCTCTATCCCTCTCCCTTCCTCTTTTAAAATCAATAAAAACATAAAAATATATATTTTAAAAAGTGGACGTTTTGTCATCCAACTGTATTGTTTCACATCTGAAAGGCATCACTTACTACCTTATTAACAGCATCTTGGGCAAATTTCTAAACATCTTTTCATCTCAGTTTCCCAATGGATTAAAGAGTATAATAGATATGTGATTATTGTTAAGATTAATAGGGACATAGTCAAGTCACTTTGCTATACGCTTAGACTTATACAGTGCTGTATATCAATTTATCTCAATAAAAGTGAAAGAAAAAAAAAGATTAATAGAAATATCTATAAGTTCATCAATATCTGTTCTCCCTTTTTCTTGTAATAATAGAATACATTTTTAACTAGACTCATAGCCTTTCAAGAGAAAGACTAATTCCAGGCTCCCTTCATAGTTAGGTGAAGCGGTGTGTTTCACATCTGACTCATAAGAGGTGTGTGGAAGTAAAGTGTATAAATTTTAAGTTATACACTTATGGAAAAGAACTGAGTCCTAAACTTCTTATTCTTTCACCCTTTCTTGTTGTTGGGATTGCAGGTACAAGGTCAAGCAATCAAGACCATGAAGATGAAGCCACAATAAGGAGCCATGAATTTGCCACAATAAGGAGCCAGGACTACAATACAACTAAAAGGAGGAGAGCCACCTTATGAGTTTTGTCTACTTGTGCCTGAAATGCTATACAATTCATTTAGGTTAACAACAGTTAAATGTCTAAGAACACATGTAAAGCTCGTATATCTGTACTTATTATATGATAAACATTCACTAAATGTTAGTATTACAACTATTAAAATTATCCTATATAATAAATGCCTAATATGCTAAGTGTCCGGTTGTCCATTCAACCAATCTAAGTGCAATATGCTAATGATATGCTAAGGTGGCTCAACTGCTCACTATGATGTACACTGACCACTAGGGGGCAGACAGTAAACCAATCGACCAGTCACTATGACATGCACTGACCATCAAGGACTTTGACTGGTAGGTTAGCTTACTGCTGGTCTCCGGTCAATCAGGACTGAGTGAGACGGGCCAGACATGCCCTGGAGCCCTCCTACGGTTCCTCCCTGGCTGGCCAACCTCCTGCATTTCTCCCTGGCCCTGATCATGCGATCATGCACTGGTGGGGTCCCTCAGACTGGCCTGCCCCCTCTCGCAATCTGGTACCCGCCAGTGGATGTCAGAGAGCCGGTTTTGGCCCAATCCCGCAGGCGAGGCTGAGGGACCCCACTGGTGCATGAATTCGTGAACCTGGCCTCTAGTATTGCTAATAATATAGGAGATATGCCATAATCAAAATTACATAAAAGAGTTGATAGTAAAGAATGGGAAAAGGATGTATCAGGAAAATAATAACAAAACAAAGGTCAAGTAGCAGTACTGATATTAGAAAAAAATAAAAGTTAAGGGAACAGCCCTAACCGGTTTGGCTCAATGAATAGAGTGTCAGCCTGCGGACTCAAGGGTTCCGGGTTTGATTCCAGTCAAGGGCATGTACCTTGGTTGCAGGCACATACCCAGTGGGGCGTGTGCAAGAGGCAGCTGATTGATGTTTCTCTCTCATCGATGTTTCTAACTCTCTATCCCTCTCCCTTCCTCTCCGTGAGAAATCAATAAAATATATTTAAAAAAAAGTTAAGGGAACATAATCCAGCAGGTATATAAAATAGGTAAGAATGGGCACATACACTAAATAAAAATAGTAATTAAGGCAATGACCAACACAATTGACAGGTATAACAGATAAATTTTAGAAACCTATATGTATAAGCACATAAATCATGAACACATATTACAAAAGAGTAATTGAAGTTTGAACTTTACCCTCCCCTACCCCCAAATTGAAATCAGGTATGATTTTCAAATATTTGAGGATATTTATAAATATTGTCCATGTACTAAATTGCAAAGAAATTCAAAAGTGATGCTAAGAAACTGTAGTATGTTATCTTATGGCCTGGTGCATGAAATTCGTGCACTCAAGGTGGGGTCCCTCAGCCAGGATTGCGAGAGGGCTCAGGCCAAGCCAAGGGACCCCACTGGTGCATGGGGCCAGAGAGAGATACGGGAGGTTGGCCAGCCGGAGAGGGACTGAGGAAGGGCTCCAGGGCATGTCTGGCCTGTCTTGCTCAGTCCCGATCAGCCAGACCCCAGCAGCAAGTTAACCTACTGGTTAGAGCATCTGTCTTCTGGTGATCAGTGCATATCATAGCAAGGGGTTGAGCGGCCTTAGCATATCATTAGCATATTACACTTTGATTGGTCGAATGGCCAACCAGACAACTGGACACTTAGCATATTAGGCTTTATTATACAGGATGTCAAAATATAATACAATGAATTCATATACAGGTGGGGTCCCTAGGCATGGCAGGTGATCAAGGCTAACTGGGGCCTGCGGCTGGGGGCAGGGACTGAGGGAAGACCATGGGAGGTTGGCTGTGGGAGTGCACTGACCACCAGAGGGCAGCTCCTGCATTGAGCATCTGCCCCCTGGTGGTCAGTGCGCATCATAGACACTCTTCAAACAGTTGATCCGGTTGTTCCCGTTGTTCAGCCAAAATGGTCACTTAGGATTTATATATATACTAGAGGCCCGGTGCACAAAAATGGTCCCCCATGTGCCCTCTCGCAGTCTGGGACCCCTCGGGAGATAACGACCTGCTGGCTTAGGCCTGCTCCCGGGTGGCAGGGTGGCAGCCCAATCCCTA